GATGCGGGCATGTGAAGTAAGGCCAGCATGGAAGAGATACTGAGACAGCTTGCTTTGGCAATGTAAATCAGCAGCAAGCAAATGCAAATCAGAAGAAAACAAATGCAAGTTTGCAACAGAGCCTTTCAGTCCAGCAGCAAGTTTTGCGACAGAGCCTTGCAGCCCAGCAGCAAGCCCTGGAACAGGCGGAGGCCCGCCATAGGGAATCGTTGGAACAGCAGGAACAGATACACCAACAGCAAATTGTGGCCATCATGAAACAGCTTCAGCAGAGGCAGCAGACGGAGGCTGAGAGTGATTCTGCTACCATACCATCTTTTCGTGTAAGTCACCCGCTGCCAAAGATGACTGCAGATGAGGACCCTGAGATGTCTCTGACCACTTTTGAGAGGACAGCTGAAAAAGAAAGTTGGCCTAAAGAGCAGTGGGCTGGACTAGTGGCCCCCCTACTATCTGGTGAGTCCCAAAAGGCTTTATTTGACCTTGAGCCTAAGGAAGCCAAGAACTATGACCGTTTAAAAATGGAAATTTTGGCGCGGCTGGGCGTAACCCTGGCTGTCCGGGTACACAACTGGAGTTATCGACTGGGAAAACCACCCCAATCCCAAATGTATGACCTTATTCATTTGACCAGAAAATGGTTGCAGCCAGATACACTGTCTGGACCAAAGATTGTGGAAATGGTGGTTATGGACAAGTTTCTCAGGTCTCTTCCTACTACCTTGCAGAAATGGGTGAGTCATGGAGATCCGGAAACAGCGGACAAGCTTGTGGAGAGGTATCTAGCAACTGAAAATCTAACATCTTCCCTCAAGGACTCACGGACTTTCCACCCTAAGACCAGACCATCCCTGGCTATGGGTAAGATTGCACCAAGGGATGGAGAGAATGGAAAAGGGGGAACGAAAGGTACTTTTGGGACTGTTTCCAATATCTGGGGCGAGCGGTCTGGAAGGCCAAACCCGCCAGAGGTGAGCAGAAAGATAATCTGTTACCGCTGCCGGGAAGAGGGACATGTAGCAGCAGATTGCCCATGTAGGATGAACCAATGCACTGTGACTTTCTTACAGAGAGACAGCAGTCCCTGTTTGCAACTATTACTTACACTGCTGTAAAGGGAAATGAGAAGCCTTTATACAAAATGTGTATTGATGGTAGAAATGTTGTGTTGGATTCAGGTAGCTTGGTTGCCTTAGTCAAAACTGAACTGGTAAGGGGAAAAACCTTGCACCCTAGAAAACTAGCAGTCATTTGTGTTAATGGGGACACTTGAGAGTATCCTGTGGCAACAGTATCCTTTGAGACCTCCCTGGGTAACCTGTGCCATCAGGTGGGTCTGGTTCCCCAACTACCTCATGACGCCATTGTGGGAAGGGATTTCCCAAAATTCTGGGAGCTCTGGAATGGCCCAGATTTTCCATTGACCGGTCCTTCAGAACCTGAAGGTTCTCATAGGGAATCCTCTGTGGGGGAGGATTCACCTGAATTTCCTTTGTCAGTATTAGCAGGGGAAACAGGTCCTAGGGAGGAGCCTACATCCTCAGAAGTGGAACAGCCACCCCTAGTGTTTGACTTAGAAGTACACAGGGAAACTTTTGCCACTGAAGGACCCCACATTACTAAGGGCCCGAGAGAATGTAGTAAAAATAGAGGGAGAATTAGTGAATCCCGACGAGAGGATTGCCCTCCCGTACTTTATCATAGAAAGAGACCTATTATATCGGGTGTCACAGAGGGCAGAGGAAACCATAGAGCAACTGATGGTACCTAAATTTTACCACAAATTGGTCTTAGAGCTGGCCCATGGGCACATTCTAGGGGGACATTTAGGAGCTGAAAAAACCCGAGACAGAATCGTACAGAGGTTCTATTGGCCTGGGGTCAATAAGGAAGTGGAAATGTACTGCTCTTCCTGTCCAGTGTGTCAGATTTCAGCCCCAATGCCACATTTTCGCAGTCCTTTCGTTCCTCTGCCAATCATTGAGGTCCCTTTTGAAAGGATTGCTATGGATTTGGTTGGCCCCTTGCTAAAGTCTGCTAGGGGGCACCTTGGTGATAATGGACTATGCCACCCGTTACCCAGAGGCAATTCCTCTCCAAAACACCTCTGCCAAAACCATTGCCAAAGAGTTATGTCAGGTCTTCAGCCGTGTAGGCCTTCCCAAGGAGGTACTAACCGATCAGGGCACCCCGTTTATGTCTAGGGTAACCAAAGAACTTTGTAAACTTCTGAAGGTGACAACTCCGTACTTCAGACAGATGGGTTAGTAGAAAGGTTTAACAAAACGTTAAAACAGATGCTGAAGAAGGTGGTTGATAAAGACAGGAAAAATTGGGATTGTCTACTACTATATTTAATGTTTGCGATCCGAGAGGTTCCCCAATCGTCCACAGGGCTCTCTCCCTTTGAGCTGTTATATGGGAGACACCCACGGGGGCTATTGGACATTGCAAGGGAAACATGGGAGAGTGAGAGTTCCGCTCACAGAAGTGTAATTGAACATGTGGCCCAAATGAAAGACAGAATTACACAAGTAATGCCTATTGTGAAGGAACATATGGCTCAAGCCCAGTTGGCTCAACAAAGAATTTACAACTGTGGAGCTTGAATCCGTTCTTTTTCACGTGGTGATAGGGTGTTGGTCCCAACGGTTGAAAGTAAATTCCTGGCCAAATGGCAGGGCCCATATGAAGTGTTAGAAAAAATGGGGGACGTGAATTATAAAATTAGCCAACCAGGAAGGCGAAAACCTGAGCAGGTGTACCATGTGAATTTGCTAAAACCCTGGAAGGATAGGGAATCCTTGGTCGCTGAAACTTCCCCGATTCCTGCTCCGCCTACCTTGGAAGTCCCAGAAGTCGGTGTAGCGGAGACTCTATCAAAAATGCTGCAACAGGAAGCTAGAGAATTTGTGCTGCGCAACAAAGAAAAATTCTCAGCATTCCCTGGGTGGGTGTCCAGGATTGAGCATGACATTATTACCTCCCCAGAGGAAAGGGTAAAGTTGAAACCCTATCGTATCCCGGAAGCTCAGCGAGAGGCAATTCTCCAAGAAATAAAAAATATGCTTGAACTGGGGGTTATAGAGGAGTCAAACAGTGACTGGTCCAGTCCTATTGTGCTAGTGCCCAAACCAGATGGAAGTTGGCAGTTTTGTAATGACTTTCGCCAGCTGAATAAAGTCACTAAGTTTGACACCTATCCCATGCCCCGTATAGATGAGCTGATTGATCGTCTAGGGACAGCCTGGTATATGACAACACTGGACTTGACCAAAGGGTATTGGCAGATTCTTCTTTCAGAATCAGCCAAGAAAAAGACTGCCGTTGGAACTCCAGAGGGTTCTTTTCAGTATCAGAGGATGACGTTTGGGTTGCAGAATGCTCCTGCCATGTTTCAATGGGTGATGGATAAGACCCTCCGGCCCCATCGAGCCTATGCTGCAGCATACTTGGATGATGTGTGGTCATCCATAGTGAAGATCGGGACTCACATTTACCAAAAGTTCAGGCAGTATTAGACTCTATCTGGAAAGCAGGGTTTACAGCCAATCCAAACAAATGTAGAAGAAGCCAAGTATCTGGGATATACCATTGGGAGAGGTCTGATAAAGCCCCAGGTCAACAAAGTTGAAGCCATACAAAGCTGGCCACGCCCCACCAACAAGAAGCAGGTACAAGCGTTTTTGGGAATTGCTAGTTATTACCAGCGGTTTATTCCTCATTTTGCTTCACAGGCTGCTCCCCTGACCAACTTGACAAAAGGGAAGGAGTTTGTCATGGTCAAGCAGCTTTTGAGGCCTTAAAACGGGCCTTATGTAGACAGCCAGTGTTGTACTCCCCGGATTTTTCAAGGGCTTTTGTGGTCCAGACCAATCACTCAGATGTTGGGTTAGGAGCTGTGTTCTCTCAGGTTTTCAAAGGAGAAGAACACCCCGTCATTTACCTCAGCCGGAAATTAAAACCACATGAAGAAAATTATGCCACTATTGAGAAAGAATGCTTAGCAATTAAGTGGGCTCTAGATTCTCTCCGCTACTATCTCTTGGGTAGATAATTTGAACTAGTAACAGATCATGCTCCCTTGAAGTGGATGGCACAGAACAAAGACCAATAGGAGAGTGAATAGGTGGTTCCTGGCCCTTCAAGAATTCAGTTTCATCATAAAGCACCGCCCGGTGCTAGAATGGGGAATGCAGATGCCCTGTCCCCAGTGCACGCATTCTTAATAATCTGTGCTCCAACCCCAAGGTTGAAACAAGAGGGGGGGTATGTGACAGGAGGTCAGGAAGAAAATTAATGCACCGGGTGAAAACGCGGAGATGTTAGCCGGTCCTATAGGAAATCATGTTACATGGACTGCTGTGTGTTTCTGCAAAATGCAATGGAAAATTAATAGATGGGAACCTAGACTAATAGTATAGGGCTGCTTTCACATTGATACGCTGCGGTTGACCCACACCGTGAATCTGAAAGCACTCCAAAACTCCTGAATGCAGGAAGTGCGCCACACCTGCAGGATATAATAGAAGTCTATAGTAAAGCGCAGCTAACCCAGGAAAGTCGCAGATGCACTGCGCTGCAACTCGCAGTGCAGGTAAACTGCAGCACATCAGTGTGAAAGCAGCTTTATAGGGGGCACAGAACAGTAAGGGTTCATTTACATTTGTAGTTCGGGGGATAGTAAAATCCCATAGTTAAGATGTGTTTTTACCACCACCGCCCCCCATTAAAGGTGGTATTGTGCTATTTAAGGATTTTATTTTTTTGGGGACCACTTTGGATTGGGTTGGAGAGAAATGAAAGGAGGATTTTTTTAACTGCTTTCTGCCCGCCCTATAAAATAAATACTGCTTCAGGGCGGCACGGGTGCACAAATTCGTGTGTGTATGTGTATATATATATATACTGTGTATATATATGTGTGTGTGTGTGTGTGATTTTCACTTTCTGGGTAGGGGGCTCGTGCGAGCTGTGCATGCCCTGCCCGCGGCTCCATTCCCGGACGTGGCTGTCAATCACTGGGTCCCGTCCATCAATGCCACCTGTCAGTGCACATCAATGCTACATACCAATGCCTATCAGTGCCCATCTGAGCTGCCTTTCAGTGCCAACTATCAGTGGCAGTCAGTGACACTTATCAGTGCTGCCAGTGCCGCCTATCAGTGCCATCAGTCAGTGCGTCCTATCAGTGCCAGTCAGTGCTACCTATGGGTGGTGCCAATCAGTGCCGCCTAACAGTGCCAGTCAGTGCCGCCTATCAGTGCCATATATGACTACTGCTTTTCAGTGCCCATCAGTGATGCCTGTCAATGCCCATCAGTGCCACCCATCATTGCCGCCTATCAGTGCAGCCTCATTAACGCACATCAGTGAAGGAGAAAAATCACTTATTTACAAAATTTTATAACAAAAACTAAGAAAAGATGTTTAGTTTTCAAAATTTTCAGTTGCTCTTGGTTTGTTTAGCAAAAATTAAAAAAAAAAACCCAGAGGTGATTAAATACCACCAAAAGAAAGCTCTATATGTCTCAAAAAAATAACAATTTCATATGGGTACAGTGTTGCATGACCGCACAATTGCCATTCAAAATGTGAAAGCGCTGAAAATTGGCCTGGGCAGGAAGGGGGTATAAGTGCCCTGTAGGCAAGTGGTTAAAGTCCATTTTTTTCCCTTTGCCTGTTTCTTTCCCCCATTCTTTAGTTATTTTTCATTTCATCAAAATTTTACCTTTTCTCATTGTTAGTCTTTCAGAGCTACACAAATGACTCCACCTAGGCAGGTATGATATCATCAGTCTGCTGCAGGCAAGAAGAAGCATTTCCCCAGTCTCCTTTTTCCCCCAGTGATCACTCAGATGTTCCATTGCAACTTTGTATAAAGTCACAAGGTGAGAGGTAACAGCAGGGCTGGCATCACAGTCCAGAAAGTACATGGTGACCTTGGATGATGCCTAAAAAGAGATGACCTTCACCTTGGAAAGAGGTTTTAAGTCCTTGACTTATCTAAACAAGTTTTTTTTTTAAAAATATTTTTATTGCCCTACCCCTTGCCTCCCACTGCTGCCATTCCTGCTCCTGCAGCCCCCTAAGACATCCCTTCATATATCCTAGGAGGCAGCAGAAGCCCATTAACAGAGCAATGGGTGGACAGAGCTGATGTGCATCATTAGGAGCTTGGCTGCCTGAGCCTGGAAGGGGCATCTGAGCTCCCAATGGGTGCACCAAGATGGTGGCATAGGACTAGGACACCTGATCAGTGGATCAGAGCAGGGCAATGCTGGATCCACTTGGCAGGGGAGTACACTTTCTGATGAGAAGTCAACATGACAGGTATGTGGGGACAAAAGCACGGATAAAATACAATGAACCCCAAGTGATCTCTGAGACTTTACATTGTAACTTTGTATCAAGTCACAATACAGTAAACTTTTTTTTTTTTCAGATGGACTCTTGTGCTCTCGAAGGTTCCCATTAAATTGGCTGAAATAGTAAATGAAGCCGTTTGTAACAAAAATGCAGCCATATTTTCCAATGCACAGACCCAGTCCATTCCACACTGCCACTCACAGTGGATTTTCCTCCTGCCCATGCATTTTTCTGGACCTACATGAGAAAAAAAATAATTTTCAAGAAGTCTTAACTTAACTGATCGGCTGATGATATGTAGAATTTCAGATTTATGCAGACATATTATCAAGCTGTAAATACAAACAAAATGAAATCCTTATCATCATCTTTTCACAAGCTTTGGATGGAAACTCAATGTTGTATGTTCTCAACACTGCCATCCGGAGGACATTTTCATCATTTCTTGTTCAGACTCGAGCAGTGAAGTTCATACAGATTATTTGTATTTGTAAATAAGACAGATGTATAATTATTCCGAAACTAAAAACAATCACAGATAACACATCGTATTTGAAGAGTCAGGATGCCTATTGCTATTAGATCCAGGAAATATAACAAGAAAAGAAAGAAGGTAAATGTATTTGAGTCTTTACCAAGTTATGGCCTTGTGAAAACTGAGCCTGGGTGTACTGTTACCTTGGAGCTTCCAGTCCATGTGATTTCTATTTCTGGTATCACTGATCACCAATGTAAGGGATATTCTTCCCACTGACCACCAATGTAAGGAGCATTCTTCCCACTGACCACCAATGTAAGGAGCATTCTTCGCACTGACCACCAATGTAAGGGACATTCTTCCCACTGACCACCAACGTAAGGAGCATTCGTCCCACTGATCACCAATGTAAGGAGCATTCTTCCCACTGACCACCAATGTAAGGAGCATTCTTCCCACTGATCACCAATGTAAGGAACATTCTTCCCACTGATCACCAATGTAAGGAACATTCTTCCCACTGATCACCAATGTAAGGGACATTCTTCCCACTGATCACCAATGTAAGGGGCATTCTTCCCACTGATCACCAATGTAAGGAAAATTCTTCCCACTGATCACCAATGTAAGGGACATTCTTCCCACTGACCACCAATGGGACATTCTTCCCACTGACCACCAATGTAAGGACATTCTTCCCACTGATCACCAATGTAAGGGACATTCTTCCCACTGATCACCAATGTAAGGAGCATTCTTCCCACTGATCACCACCAATGTAAGGGAGCATTCTTCCCACTGACCACCAATGTAAGGAACATTCTTCCCACTGATCACCAATGTAAGGAACATTCTTCCCACTGATCACCAACACCAATGTAAGGGGTATTCTTCCCACTGATCACCAATGTAAGGGAAAATTCTTCCCACTGATCACCAATGTAAGGGACATTCTTCCCACTGATCACCAATGTAAGGGACATACAATGTTCCCACTGATCACCAATGTAAGGGACATCACCAATGTAAGGAGCATTCTTCCCACTGACCACCAATGTAAGCAAAATTCTTCTCACTGACCACCAACGTAAGGAGGATTCTTCCCACCGATTACCAATGTAAAGGTGGCTTTACTGTCACTGACCACCAATGTTAAAAGCAACTAATGTAACTGTGGCAGTAAGCAGTGGAAAAGATGGAGATGTTAATATCTGTAAAAATCCAACAGGGGTCCTAATTTTTCCTCTTTATCCAAAACTCAAATACAACATAAAATGTATTGGCTGGACACTCCCTAGTACTGTTCCCTGTACTCTGCCAGGGCCACACTGGACAACCCACAAAATTCCGGTGCAACATTTACACGGGCTCCGGACTCACTTCTGTGATCCAGCACTAACACATGCCGACTTTTTAAGATTCAGAGAAATTACTTTTCTCCGGCAATTTGTCAACAGTAGGTAAAAAAAAAGAACCAAGTCGCTTTACATTACCAAGACCTTGCCAATGTGCACGGCTCCGAGCATCCACTTTCCTTTACACGGCGCTGTAGGCCGCAATACATCGCAGCTGTAAAACGCTTTGACAGGAAGGTCCTGGAGGAAATAAGTTTATTATTAAAATCGCCTTTATTCAATCTGCTTCACCTTCATTTGTTCACAATCTTTTAGCTGTTATCTGAGAACTAACCCAGAACCAATTAAAGGGCTTGGCAGCGGAGTGCAGAACAAGATGGATGTGCCTGGCCTGCGGGCAGCAGCCATTAGGACTGCGGCACACAACCCACCACCAATCAGGAGATCCGAAATTTACTGTCTGATAAAGGACTGCACTGCTGCACCCAACTGTACTACAAGGCCATAGAAACTACAGAACTTTGTTCTATGGAAAGAGGGGTAGATAGATAGATATATACCTGAATTATACACTACTGCGGGTGCACATGCAGTAGTTACAATTGGGCCTGCCCCTTGCCACCTTGTTCTCAGTTGGCACTGTATAAATGCCGGCTGTTTCCCTATGAACTGATTTTTTTAAAAGGGGACGGAGCCCCTGAAAGCATATCGCCCCTGCCCATCTCCGATATCACATACGTAACACACTCCTGAATCCTGCACTCTGTACGAAATGCACTCCTGAATCCTGCACTCTGTACGTAGCACACTCCTGAATCCTGCACTCTGTACATAGCACACTCCTGAATCCTGCACTCTGTATGGAACGCACTCCTGAATCCTGCACGCTTGTATGTAACACACTCCTGAATCCTGCACTCTGTATGTAACACACTCCTGAATCCTGCACTCTGTATGGAACGCACTCCTGAATCCTGCACTCTGTATGTAACACACTCCTGAATCCTGCACTCTGTACGTAACACACTCCTGAATCCTGCACTCTGTACAAAATGCACTCCTGAATCCTGCACTCTGTACGTAGCACACTCCTGAATCCTGCACTCTGTACATAGCACGCACTCCTGAATCCTGCACTCTGTATGGAACGCACTCCTGAATCCTGCACTCTGTACGTAACACACTCCTGAATCCTGCACTCTGTACGTAGCACACTCCTGAATCCTGCACTCTGCACTTAACACACTCCTGAATCCTGCACTCTGTATGGAACGCACTCCTGAATCCTGCACTCTGTATGGAACGCACTCCTTAATCCTGCACTCTGTACGTAATGCACTCCTGAATCCTGCACTCTGTACATAACGCACTCCTGAATCCTGCACTCTGTACGTAACACACTCCTGAATCCTGCACTCTGTATGGAATGCACTCTTGAATCCTGCACTCTGTATGTAACACACTCCTGAATCCTGCACTCTGTATGTAACGCACTCCTGAATCCTGCACTCTGTACGTAACACACTCCTGAACAATGCACTCTGTACGTAACACACTCTGAATCCTGCACTCTGTATGGGACGCACTCCTGAATCCTGCACTCTGTATGGAACGCACTCCTGAATCCTGCACTCTGTACGTAACACACTCCTGAATCCTGCACTCTGAGAGTGTGTTACGTACAGAGTGCAGGATTCCAGAGTGCATTTCGTACAGAGTGCAGGATTCAGGAGTGTATTACGTACAGAGTGCAGGATTCTGGAGTGCATTTCGTACAGAGTGCAGGGTTCAGGAGTATGTTATTTACAGAGTGCAGGGTTCAGGAGTGTGTTATTTACAAAGTGCAGGGTTCAGGAGTGCGTTACATACAGAGTGCAGGGTTCAGGAGTGCGTTACATACAGAGTGCAGGATTCAGGAGTGCGTTATATACAGAGTGCAGGGTTCAGGAGTGCGTTACATACAGAGTGCAGGATTCAGGAGTGCGTTATATAGAGAGTGCAGGGTTCAGGAGTGCATTACATACAGAGTGCAGGGTTCAGGAGTGTGTTATATGTATATAACACACTCCTGAATCCTGCACTCTGTATGTAACGCACTCCTGAATCCTGCACTCTGTATGTAACACACTCCTGAATCCTGCACTCTGTACGTAACACACTCCTGAATCCTGCACTCTGTACGTAGCACACTCCTGAATCCTGCACTCTGTACGTAGCACACTCCTGAATCCTGCACTCTTTACTTAACACACTCCTGAATCCTACACTCTGTATGACACGAACTCCTGAATCCTACACTCTGTATGGAACGCACTCCTGAATCCTGCACTCTGTACGTAACACACTCCTGAATCCTACACTCTGTATGGAATGCACTCCTGAATCCTGCACGCTGTACGTAACACACTCCTGAATCCTGCACTCTGTACGTAACGCACTCCTTAATCCTGCACTCTGTGCATAACACACTCCTGAATCCTGCACTCTGTACGTAACGCACTCCTTAATCCTGCACTCTGTATGGAACGCACTCCTGAATCCTGCACTCTGTACGTTACGTTACGCGCTCCTGAACCCTGCACTCAGTATGTAACGCACTCCTAAACCCTGCACTCTGTACATAATGCATTCCTGAATCCTGCACTCTGTAAATAACACACTCCTGAATCCTGCACTCTGTATGCGTTTCATACAGAGTACAGGATTCCGGAGTGCGTTACGTACAGAGTGCAGGGTTCTGGAGTGCATTTCGTACAGAGTGCAGGATTCAGGAGTGCGTTTTGTACAGAGTGCGGGATTCAGGACTGTGTTATGTACAGAGTGCAGGATTCAGGAGTGTGTTACGTACAGAGTGCAGGATTCCAGAGTGCATTTCGTACAGAGTGCAGGATTCAGGAGTGTATTACGTACAGAGTGCAGGATTCTGGAGTGCATTTCGTACCGAGTGCAGGGTTCAGGAGTGTGTTACATTCAGAGTGCAGGATTCAGGAGTGTGTTATTTACAGAGTGCAGGGTTCAGGAGTGCGTTACATACAGAGTGCAGGGTTCAGGAGTGTGTTATTTACAGAGTACAGGGTTCAGGAGTGCGTTACATACAGAGTGCAGGGTTCAGGAGTGTTATTTACAGAGTACAGGGTTCAGGAGTGCGTTACATACAGAGTACAGGGTTCAGGAGTGCGTTACATACAGAGTGCAGGGTTCAGGAGTGCGTTACATACAGAGTGCAGGGTTCAGGAGTGCGTTACATACAGAGTGCAGGGTTCAGGAGTGCGTTACATACAGAGTGCAGGATTCAGGAGTGCGTTACATACAGAGTGCAGGGTTCAGGAGTGCGTTACATACAGAGTGCAGGATTCAGGAGTGCGTTACATACAGAGTGCAGGGTTCAGGAGTGCATTACATACAGAGTGCAGGGTTCAGGAGTGTGTTATATGTATATATCCACTCCTGAATCCTACACTCTGTATGTAACACACTCCTGAATCCTGCACTCTGTATGTAACACACTCCTGAATCCTACACTCCTGAATCCTTCCACACTTTGTGTAACGCACTCTTCCACAGTTTGTGGAAAACCATTTGTAATGGAAACTTTTTAATCTTTATTTTAAATGATTATGCTGGGGTTTGTGTCTGGGAGATTCTTGATTGTGTCACAGCAATAACAGCATATTTTATAGGTACAGGGAAGTCTGGGGTTTTTTAACCATGCCCTTTAGACCCCTCCCACTGTTAGGCCACACTCGTTTTTTTTTTTGCCACAGAGCACTATGCACCCTGCAAGCCACTTCCTCCCTCAAGTGTCCCTCATTCTGAAGTTCAGAAGTCAGGATTTATGGTGATTGGATATGCTGGAACTGTAATGACTAGCAGGCCCAACAACTCAGGCCTTAACACATGTAACTTGAGAAACAATAGTAATTAAACTAAGTAAAAAGTAACTGGACTTGGTAATGCGTTTAACTTAGATGGTTGAGTATAGAATTCTCTCAACCAATCCGTGGTCTCGGTCAGGTGGTGTAAAGTCTCTCTGTAGATGGGGCCCCCGTTTCCTCTTGGTTCCTCCTTCAGAGATCACTGTGGACATCAGCACTCCAGCACACCTGCACTCAGGGCTGTCCACAACACTTGTCAGTGGTGTCAGCGATGTCAGTGGTCATCAACTCTCCCTTTTCTCATCTACTGTCTGCAGTCTGACCCAGCTGGGACCTCCAGTGTCCTGAATGGACTTCTCCTTACACCTTTTCTCCAGCTCTCTCTCCATCTGTTTCCTGTCCTCCAGCTGCCAGGCTTCTGTATTTATCTGCCCCCGCCCATCCGCCAGCTCCTCTGGGAAATGTTTTTTTTAGCTCCATGTTAGACAGTGAACTCCTGCAAATCAGTCTATGAATTCCACAAAGCTTTCCAATAGAGTCTCTGTGACTGGGCTGCAGGACACTGCCATCTTGTGTCCATTTAACATCCTGCAAACAGTATTACGGCAGGGTGTTACAACAGATAGGGGCATTTTTTGTGAGCACATTTATTTTATATGTATGCCTTCCTAGATAGATAGATAGATAGATAGATAGATAGATAGATAGATAGATAGATAGATAGATATAGGATAGATAGATAGATGGATAGATGGATAGAAGAATAATAATTATTATTATTATACAACATTTATATAGCGCCAACAGTTTGCGCAGTCCTTTACAATATAAGGGAGACAGTACAATTACAATACATTTCAGTACAGAAGGAATAGGAGGGCCCGGCTCATGGAACTTACAATCTAAAGGAAAGGGGAGGTGATACAAAAGGTAATAGCTGTGGGGGATGATCTGGTGGAGGTGATTCAAGTACAGTTCTTAGGTGGAGGTGCGGTAGGCTTCCCTTAAGAAATTAGTTTTCAAAGCACGCCTAAAGGCAGACAGGGTGGGGGCTGACCGGACATGCTTTGGTCGGGAGTTCCAGAGGATGGGAGAGCTCTGGAGTGGTCCTGGAGGCGAGCGTGGGAGGAGGTGATGAGGGAGCTAGAGAGGAGGATATCATGGGAGGAGCGGAGTGGGCGATTTGGGTGGTATCTGTGGATGAGGTTGGTGATGTAGCTAGGGGCAGTGTTGTGGATGGTTTTGTAGGTTGTAGTTAGTATTTTGAATTTTATACGTTGGGTTAGTGGAAGCGAGTGCAGGGATTGGCAGAGAGGGGCAGCAGTCGCTGATTGGTTGGTAAGATAGACAGACAGACAGACAGACAGACAGACAGACAGACAGATAGATAGATAGATAGATAGATAGATAGATAGATAGATAGATAGATAGATAGATAGATATAGATAGATAGATAGATAGATAGATAGATAGATAGATAGATTAGATAGATACAGTAGATAGATAGATAGATAAAAGGTAGGTAGAGAGAAAGATGTAAAAGCTACATCTGAAGGTACTCATGAACTCAAAAGAAAATGATTGTGGTTTGTAATTTATATCTCTCTTTGAAAGGTTGTCTGTTTAAGGAGCTGTAGGGAAATGCAGCATGCTTTCAGGTACATTCCACTTACATTTGACATCCTTTTGAGATGTTTCTGAGTAGAGACCACCATTAGTATCATGGGACCCCCGAACAAACTACTTTACAGAGCTCCCCCCAAGTGGTACCCCTAAGAGAAGCAGTCAGCAATGAACGTCATTCCTCGCTCCTCCAGGACCTGGGAAGTCTTGAGCCCAGCAGGCCAGTCCTTTCACTTTCTTCACCCCCTGCTCCTTTCTCACTGACCACTCCACCCCCTACTCAGTCTCTGACAGCACTCCCCCCCCCCCCCCCCCTCGCCTCTGTGCCTGGATCACCTAACCCTGTCTTCCTTTGTCTTCTTCTCGCTGCCTTGTTTCCTCAACCACTTCCAATGAGGCCAAGGTAAGCACCTTTACTTCCAGTTATGTGGACTGGGAGACTTCAGCTGGAACCCTCCCATAACCATCCAAACAGCCTAGGTTGCATCCTCCGTAATGACAAGTCCTGCTTATAAGCTCAGCCCCTGTGTAGTATAGCTATGTAGGTCTGCCATTAGAAATCATGGGGCCCTATGGAGCCTATCTGACAAACTGGACCTTCTGTGCCGACCTGGTGGGGCCTGGGCCCAGTACAAATGCACTGCCTGTACCTTCTAATCCCAAATCCCACCTCTAAAATCATTGAGTTCATTGACAGGCGCATTTGACCTCTTTCTACACTGCATCACCCTGCGTCAAGCTGCATCTTTGTGTGTCAAGCTGCATCACCATATTCAAAGCTGCATAACCCTGTTCAAGCTGTATCCCGTATTTCAAACTGCATCACCCTATTTCTAGCTGCATCACCCTGCTTCAAGCTGCATCACCCTATGTCTAGCTGCATCACCCTGCTTCAAGCTGCATCACCCTATCTCTAGCTGCATCACCCTGCTTCATGCTGTATCACCCTATTTCTAGCTGCATCACCCTATTTCTAGCTGCATCACCCTGCTTCATGCTGTTTCAAGCTGCATCACCCTGCTTCAAGCTGTATCACTGTGCTTCAAAGTGCATCACCCTATTTCTAGTTGCATCATTCTGCTTCAAGCTGCATCATCCTGCTTTAAGCTGCATCACCTTACTTCAAGCTGCATTATCCTACTGCAAGCTGCATCACCCTGTTACAAGCTGCATCACCCTGCATCAAGCTGCATTTTCTTACTGCAAGCTGCATCACTCTGTTACAAGCTGCATCACCCTGCATCAAGCTGCATTATCTTACTGCAAGCTGCATCACCCTGTTACAAGCTGCATCACCCTGCATCAAGCTGCATTACCCTGCATCAAGCTGCATCACCCTGTTACAAGCTGCATCATCCTGTTACAAGCTGCATGACCCTACACCAAGCTGCATCTCCCTGCATCAAGCTACATCATCCTGTTACAAGCTGCATCACCCTGCATCAAGCTGCATCACCCTGTTTCTAGCCGCATTACCCTATTCAAAGCTGCATAACCCTGATCCAAGCTTTATCACCCTATTTCAAACTGCATCACCCTTTTTTTTCTAGTTGCATCAACCTGCTTTATGCTGTATCATCCACTTAACCTGCATCACCCTGCTTCAAGCTGCATCATTTTGTTTCTAGCTGCATCACCCTGTTTCAAACTGCATCACTCTGCTTCAAGTGGCATCACCCCGCTTCAACCTGCATCAACCTGCATAA